GTATATGGATAGCCAACATGTACCTGCAATCATATTTTTATGCTGTTACCTCATTCCTTATTTTGTGCAATTGTTGAATTTCTTTCAATAATTAATATTTCAGTTTTATTTAATCACAATTTAAATCCATTCAGTGCTTTAAACATTTGATACAGAACTTTTATAGTTCAATAGAAACTTAGAAACCTCATTTCTCACAGGGGCATTTTATGCGTGAAATAGGTACCTACCACATCTATAGAAATTATATACAATTACAATTTAATTATATATGATATAATACTTTGAATTAAATTCTAATCAAATTTTTTCAGCATCATACGGTGTGAATTTTGTAAAGATTTACGTTCAAAATATGCAAAATGTGGATGTATCGGAATTCTTGTCATAAAAATATTTTGAACCTTAAATCTAAAAAATCCTCGAATTTATTACTTAGGTCTGATATGTTTCCGACATAGATAAACAATTTCTGATCAATTACGTTCAGAAACATGCATAGAAACTTTATCTGAATAGACCTACCCTCAATTTTTCTTTAACTGACGGTCGTTTTTTATATCTTAATCACGTGACTTAGTTGATCGGTGCTGAAAAACAAACATCAAAATCAAGAAGTAGAATGATTACAATTATATAAAATCATATTTTACAGTGATTTTATCGTAGGCCGGAAAATGGCCTTATAGAGAATCAACCTTTGCAGAAAAAATGCGTTTTTGACTACCTTCAACAAAGAATTAAAATATTAGCACAGCCCACGATCCAAAAAATAAAACATGTTTTTTTATCTCCAGAAACAGAGCTTTCATTATGTATTTGCATCTTTTGGATCAGAGGTTGTGCTCTACATGGAATATTTAAAAAATACTTCAACCATAGGTCATGTTCAAAGGAATTTACAGGATATGAGGAAAATGACGCATTTTATAATGCATTGACTAGATGGGAAATTACGTCACGATTAATAGATACGTGGTCACCAACACTCCAAGTGATAAATACTGCATTTGCAACCAAGACTTACTGGTTTTAATTTTTTAGAAATTCTCAGGGCCAAATAAGGCCCAAAGTGGCTCTTGCTCTTACCTCTCTCTCTCTCTCTCTCTCTCTCTCTCTCTCTCTCTCTCTCTCTCTCTCTCTCTCTCTCTCTCTCTCTCTCTCTCTCTCTCTCTCTCTTCTTCTCTCTTGACGAATTGAACATGCTTTATCTGTTAGGACAATAGCAAGATGTTCTAAGGAATGAAAATAAAATTATCTGAAATCGTTTTGCCTCAATTAATGATTATGTGTCTCAAATGACCCCTTAAATTGAATATCTTTGTTTTACTTTATATATAGTTCTCATTTGCACAACTATACATGTGACCTTAGCTGGCATTTTTCAATTTGATCAAATTGTTATTAATTTAGAAATATGACATAATTAAGTTCCCGTTTTCCCGTTATTATAGCATATTTTGTATAAACAGAGAATATTACATACCCTTTTCCATATCACATCCTGTATCAGCCCGAGACACCAATATCAGCCAGAGGGCTGAAGGGTGTGTATTAATATGTTTATTACATACTTAGTAATAAAATACAGCATACATTAAGTTGAGAAGAAAATAAGTAAATAATTATGCATGGACTTCTTACATACATGTACATGGTCTATTGTCTCATACGATCTGGGTTTGTTTCTACTTCTATTTCAATGCACTCGATCCGTAATTTGAAAATAATCTATTACATGTATTTGTTGTTGTCATGGAATCTTCATATTTCCGCCACTATCATGCAATAAATAAATAATATTAATATTCAGGAAACGCGATTAGTTTACGTTTTACTGTATATCACACACCCCAAAACATAAGTAAGACCTGTAAGTTACACAAACCTGTTATTATTACTTTTCAATGATATTTAAAATGTTAAGCCCTATCAAAATAGCAAATCCCTCTCCGGGGCTATCTTCAAGGGCGCTTCAAACACCTTTTTTAGCACTTGTTGTACAAGACCTTGTAAAAGTGTTAATAAGTGATATTTAAAGTTCGAATCATAATTAATTTGACTAAATAAAGATGAAATTTTATTATTTATTTTAAAACTATCATCCTTTAAAACAATTTATTTCCTGGTTATGCTAAGTTAAAATTAAAAATTCGGGAAGGGTGTATAGGAGACGGTTTATTAAAAATAAGTTTGTTTTACTAAAAAATATTATTATTTAAAGCTCTTCTTGATTCAATTAATCAGCATTTACTTTTTTAAGAATTTTGTATACAAAGGTTGACAGAGGTGTGTGGGAGCGTAGGAATGACAACTCTTGAAAAACTGATATCAATATATTAATGATAAAAAATAATTTTGTACTAATTGCAATAAGAAATACAATTTATGTCAATCATGAAAGCTTTATTTTTTTCACAGAATTAAAATGAAAAAAAAAATTCATCGTAGAAAAAATTGCTTTGTAAATTTATATCATAATTATATTTTTTATCCCTTGATGCTGGTTTCGTGATCTGGAGATCGAATTTCGGTTGGAACTGACCCATCTTCCCAAGTCAAGAGTTTCTGATCCGCTCCGCTCCACATAAACCCTTGACCGAATAGGCTAAGTTTGATGGGGTTAGAAATGCGTCCTCTGATTGGCCTCATGCAAGTTTGCATGAACCAATCAAAATCATTGTTTTATTTAAACTGAAACTAAATCGTAAACAGAAAAAAACACGCCAGTTTTAGTCCCAAGCATAACGTCTATATCATTAAGTAGCCCAGTTACAGGGTTGTCTTAGTTTTTTTTAGCTGTGTTATATTGAATTTATTACCGAATACCAATATTATCTCGAATTCTCTGTTGAATTCGTTTACTCCGATTGGCTAATAGCAGAGGTCAGTAGAGTTCAAAATGTGTAATCTCACTAGATGGCGTGACAGTTAACCCCGTCAAACTTAGCCAATTCCGTCAAGGGTTTATGTGGAGCGGAGCGGATCAGAAACTCTTCACTTGGGAAGATTGGACTGACCTTTATCTATAAAAATGGGTAGCAAATGTTCCTTTGCCATGCACTCGGCACTTTTAAGTGCAAGTTGCTGGTTCTTTGGATGACACCTTTAAAACCAAGGTTCAGCGTCACGAAGGCGTTGGCACAATACAGATACCTCCCTGCTCAATAGCCCTGGTGCCGGGTAAGGGTAAGAATTTGAAGCCTTATTGTGGCATCTCTACATTAATTAAAAAATTCTCGAATGGGACGTAAAACAATATGCAATCAATCATCCTTTGAAAATATCGCACAAGGCAAAAGATAGGGAGTATTTCTTTAGAAAAATAGCAATCTTGGATATAATGTACTGCAGAGCATGCACATCAAGTGATCCTAATTATATCACATGAATATGTTTAATAATGTAACACCTGTCTCTTAAGACATGTATTCCAAGACAAACTTTGTTTTTAAAAGATGATTTCGAATTGCATATTTTAAAGAACATGAATATTAGGAGAAATGAGAATGAAAATAAATGTCTGAATTCAAAGGGAACGGATTGTACATTTGTCTGATAAGACAGTTTCCACTATAAAATGATCTACAATAGATCAGTCCATATCCCTATTTTCCGTACAAGCATCTTCATGATTGTTGATTGATTGTATATTGTTTAACGTCCCTCTCGAAAATTTCAAATGGAGACTCCATGGTATTCATGTGGCAGCGTTTTAAGTAAGAACAAAAACATCTTAACATTTTACCAATTTATTACAACACAAAAACTTTAGGTTCAGCTCTTGATTAGAACATTCGGTAAAGAAAAATAACATTGCTTTACAAACAGTTCTACCACACACCCTCAAATATAATTGTTTTACGCGTGTTCTCTTCATGAAGTAAACATTATTTCACTGAAAACAAGAAATGTTTGTGAAACACTATGCGCCCGACGGCAACACAGTTCCAAAATTTATTTTTAGTATATTGGTCACAATGTCATTGGTCTTAAAGTCATTTGAAAGAACTTTATTAGTGGAGTATGCATACCAAATATAAAGTTTTTATCTCCTATGGTTCAAAAGTTATGGTGAAAGTTCGGAAAAGCTATTTTTAGCATGTAGTTTACAGTCAAGGTCAACAAGGTCATTGACCTTGGTGTCATTTGAAAGAACTTTACTAGTGAAGTATGCATACGGAAACTGAAGTTTGTATCCCCTGTGGTTCAAACGTTATGGCGAAAGTTCGAAAAAGTTATTTTAGCATAAAGGTCACAGTCAAGATCACTAGGTCATTGTCCTTGGTGTCAATTGAAAAAACTTTATTAGTGGAGTATACATACTAAATATAAAGTCTCTATTTACTATGGTTTGAATGTTATGGCAAAAGTTCGAAAAAGCTATTTTTAGCATGTAGTTTACAGTCGAGGTCACAAGTTCATTGTCCTTGGTGTCATTTGAAAGAACTTTATAAGTGAAGTATGCATACAAAAATGAAGTCTGTATCTCCTATGGTTCAAAGGTTATGCAGAAAGTTCGAAAAAGCTGTTTTAGCATATAGTAAACATTTAAGGTCACAAGGTCATTGATCTTTGTGTCTTTTGAAAGAACTTTATTAGTGAATTATGCATACCAAACATGAAATCTCTGTCTATCAAGGTTCAAAAGTTATGCTGAAGGTGAATGTTGACAACAGACAGACAAACAAATAAACAGACAAACAGACAGAACAAAAGTAATATACGCCTCGGATCTATCGATCCTGGCGCATAAAAACATGTAAATGAAACCTCATGATTAAGATTGACTAAAAATTGTCTCTTTTTTTCTGATCGATGATTTCGATTTTAAGGCATCCATCTGTTGAAAATAAAAGAAACAAGAATCAAAAATATTTAAATATTTTCAGAGACATCAAAGTGAACTTTTTATTGCTCATCAAAATTCTCATTAAACCATTAAATATATATAATGAAATACCAAAAAGTCAGCATTTGGTAGTATTTAAGTTGTTTACCTAGTGACGTCTTATCATCATCATTGTCTCCCTTATCGATGCCCCAATCTCTAATGTATAACACCATTTACAGTAGGAGATTGTTGGATACAACTGACCGTTGAGGAAGGCCCAGTTACAGTTGTTAAACCACCAGCCTCCTCTATGGTTACTGAGAGCAGCACAGTTTTTACTGGACCCGTCGTTATCTCTCTCTGGGGTACTAAAGTACATCCCGGACAGATCGGCCCCAGCATAGCCGGTATTGAGCATACTGTCACCTGTAGAAGTAGAGAAATATTAACAGACATAATGGATTTAAAACACACTTGATTTATTGTCAATAACACGGATATGCATCTAAGACAGAACACAACTTCTCAGGTTGTCTTCTGCAGAATTAGAATACCACCGCATCGCATGTGAGTTAATGCTACATATGGAAATTTCTATACAAAATATCTAATTAAATTCCATTACTACTCTACCTGCCGCACAGAAAATGTTAATACTTGTTTTCTAATACAATCTTGGTACCCACGACATGCAATAGTCAGTACACATGACATCATATTATGACGTCATCCACCTCTACTACACAACTTTATAAGAAACATCAACAAAATCACTTCGCCGTAGTTTGATTTACAGAAACAAGCTATAAGACGACGCAGGATATTCCAAGGATTTAAGATATTGCTGCACAAATGTCGGCAGTGCAATTGGTTACTTACCATTCGTGCAGTTTTAAGTTTTAACACGGTAAAAATTCAGTGTCCAGGGTAAGGTTCCCAGAATTTTTATCAATTGAGAAAGTGCATAGGATTTGTGCAGCAATTTTATCAATTTTAAGAATATTCACTTTAATATTATACATTGTTTATTTTAAATTAGATAGGATAAGCCCTTGCGCCGACGTGATTTTGTTTATATGATTTATTACATTGAATGGGAGAGAACAATGACGTCATAATATGACGTCATAATGTTCACTTGCATTCATAAACTGTGGGTAATGAGTATGTATCAGAAAATCAATTTGAACCTTCCCTGTACATAAAATATACAAATTATGAATTTTCATTAGCTTATTTGCATAAAAATATCCATATTTAGCCTTAACTCACTTGCGATTTTAACTTGTCTGGTAATATGCCTTGTTATCAAAGATACACCCTGTACAGTTAAATATAAATTTATTATTAGTATCGATCACTTATATCAGAAATCCAGAAATTTGTTATTTGTCAAAATATGTCAACATTTTAGTTACATCTGTTTTCTGGATTTATCTTCCCTTTTCCATGAACCAGCGAGGCAAAAAGGTTGGTGATGAAAGTGTCTGATGCTTATTGTCTTTATTTTTCCTTAATTTCTCTCTATTTATGCTAAATACATTTAAGTTTGGAGAAAAAAGGTATGCTTTTAATTTTCAGGGATTTTACATTAAAAGTCCAATTTCATATTTGCAGGAATGTTTGAAATGTTGGCGGGAGCACTCATTGTTGAATTGTCCTTCTTATCTTCAACGGAACGTATGATATTTCAGCCAGCGACAGCTTCACCCATCGGGATAAGGATTCCTTCAACGGGCTAGACAATGGGGACCACGAGCACCCTCCACCTTCACAAGATATAAGCAATTCCAAGGGCATCGGAATTTGGAACCTAGGTCATTCTCCAATTAGGGTTGATGGGATATCCATTTATTTGCATAAATACCCAGTAAGACAAGCAGCTAAGGAGGTACTGGATGGGTTATCAAATGGATCTAGTTTTGGGCCAAGAATAGGTATTTTTTAAAATAATCTAGTGTCAGCTCATCAACACAATGTTCAATTAGAAGAGAAAAATAACAAAGGAAATCAAAGAGGGCAAAGTTTTGGGTCCATTTTCTAACCCCCTCCCCTCCATGCCTAATCTACACATCTCGCCGGTAGGTTTAGTGCCAAAGTCATGTGGAAGTTTGAGGATGATAACACATCTGTCTTACGTTCCTTCCCTTGGCATCAATGCATTTATAGATCCAGATTTGTTTAGTTTAATACGCCTCTTTTTATTCTCTGGTTGATATTATTCGGAGTTAGGTCAGGGTGCTGAACTAGGCAAGGTCGATATCAAAAATGAGTTCAGATTGCGCTCCGTTAATACCAGACATAATTTTGTATTCATAATGTGCAGAATTTGTGCAAAATCTTATGCGTGAAAAGAAGAAAACACTTGTTGTGGTCTTTAACTCGACATTTTGATATATCGACGACGTATTGTCAATTAACAGTGGTAAATTATGCAATACATGTAAATCAATCAACATATATAAAAAGGCGCGATATAGCCTAAAATGCAAGATTGAATGTTGATATTTTTTAATATTCGGACGAAAATAACTCGGATTCAGTATTGTTATTCCTTGATTTCCAAAAGGTTGTCGACTCTGTAGAATGGAATATTATATTGAAAGTTCTTAAAAAATATAATTTTGGAGAAAATTTCTTGAAATGGATCACCATTTTATATGAATAGCCTATATTTAGAATAAAGATAATGGTAAATATCTCAAACATGTGATATGCATAGAGGTATAAGACAAGGGTGACCTATTTCTGCTATTTTATTCCTATTTGTAGTAGAAATATTAGCCATTGATATTAGATTAAATCCTAACATAAAGGGTTTTCAAAAACCTGGACTGACTGATATTACATGTATAAAGATAATACAACATACAGATGACTGCACACTTCCTTCAAAAGATAAGAAGACCCTTAAACATTCTTTAGAGGTTATAGAAAAGTTCATTTAGGTATCTTGTGTGAAACTAAATATGTCCAAAACAGAGTGTCTCTTAACAGGTCAATGGAAAAATTTGTATCGCCAAATAGAAAATGTTTACCTCAATTATTCCTGTATAAAAGCTCTAGGGATCTTCATAGGACATGATAAGGAAATAAGGTACAATAAAAATTGGACAAAAATTGTAGACGACTTTATGAGTCTATGAAAAAAATGAAAATTAACAATTTTTTACAAAGTCTTTGTAATTAATAGTCTAGAAATATAAAAAAATTATATATATTGGATCAATTTTAAATTTTCTAAATGAAAATACAGTAGAAAAAATACAAAGTCTAATTTTCAATTTTGTATGGAATTAAAAGACCTAATAAACAGAAACACTCAGATTGGAGGAATAGGTATTGTTGATGTACCTTTAAAACTAAAATCAATAAAAGTATCGTGGATTAAAAACATATTAAGTAAAACAAATTCCTTATTCCTATTTGTTGATAATTTGTCTAGAGAAAGAAATATATATGTAAAACAAACATTATTGAAACAAAAGTTTATCGAATTATGTAAAACTTTCATTTGTTTTACGAAGAAATGCTCGCATTTTTAATGAATGTAAAAGAAGCAAAAGAGAACAAAATTTGAATGCTTTATTAAAGGAACCACTGTGGTGTGATGATAAAATTAAAAATAAAAAAGCCACTATGTTTTGTAAATTGGCTGAAAATTGGATTTAAATATATTGGTGATATTGTGGACAAAAATGGTATGCAACCGATAGAATGGTTTTATGATAAACTTGTATGTAAGAGAAATTGTATTTGTGAATATATGATAATGAAAAATGTAGTTTTGAAAGCTTTAGTAGATGATGATTTTACAGATATACGTTATGAAAACATCATATTCGAAAATAATTCATATGATCTACTATACCATCATCAAGTGACAGTGTTTGATATTACTTCAAAATTGATTTATAATATTCTATGTCATGATAAATTCAAACATCCACTACATCTATATCATTATGAGAAATTGTTTGAAATTCCAAAAACAGCATGGAAATCTATATATGAACAAAAAATATTAGCAATTGCAGATAGAGGCATATCAGACTTCAATTATAGATTATTAAATAACTTATTGTGTAATAGAGAAATGTTAAAGAAATGGAAAACTGCTGAAAATGAAATGTGTGTTTTTTGTAGAAATGTAAAAGAAAACAATAAACATCTTATTCTAAAATGTCAAAATGTTTCTGATATATGGGGTGCGTTTCAGCAAGTTTTGAAATTTGATATATCATGGAAAAATATTATTATGGATTTTATAATGAAAAAAATGAAAAGATATTATTTTTGAATAGCATAATATCCCTGACTGCATGTAAAATTTACAAATACAAAATGTACTGTAGACTAGAAAACAAATAAGAAAACCTCAAGAAATACGTTATCATATCAAGAGTATATTTAATCTTTTTTTCTGAAGTATATAAGAAAATTCACCATAAGATTATCGTAATGTTTTAAAATGTATTAAAGATGAATTATAATTCATAAAGCCATTGCAGAATAAGCATGTTGTTCTACAAAGCTTATCTGGGAGACAATAGATAGACTGTATTTGAGCTGGAGGTGTTTTCTCCCAGATATATAAGGGTACCTATACACTTGTACATAAGATATTCAGCTAGATGTTTTTAATTACTTTTCTTCATTTTGATATTTTGTGATAAATTATTCCATATGATTTTTTTTTCATGACCCCCAGTGGTAGGGCGGGGCCACAAAGGCTGATTAAAGTATAACATAGGAATATATAAAACCATTTTAAAAAAAAATCTTCTTCCCCAGAACCACTCGGCCAGGAAAGATGAAACTCTTGTGGAAGCATTCTCAGGTAGTGTAGATTCAAGTTTGTACAAATAATGACTCCCGGGGGTAGGGCGGGGCTACAATGGTTGATCAAATTTTTTCAGAAGAATATATAGGAAAAATCTTCAAAAATCTTCTTCTCAAGATCAGCAAAGCCATGATTAGTGATATAGATATAGGAACATCCTAAGTTGTAGGTTATTCAAGTTTGTTTATATCATGACTCCTGTGGTTAGGGTGGGGCCATAATGGACAATCAAAGTTTTACATAGACATATTTAGGAAAAAATCTAAAAAATCTTTTCAAGAACAGCAAAGCCATGGCATAATTGGTGATATTCATATGGAAGCATCCTGAGGTAGTGTAGTTTTTAGATTGTTCAAATAAGAACTCAAGGGGTGGGGTGGGGACTCAGTGTAGGATCAAATTTTCATAGGAATATATACTTTTAAATATTTTCTGGAGAACATTATTTCCATGATTAGTATTTGGAACTAATGGAAGAATCCTCGGGTGGTTTATATTCAGGAATTGTTTATATAATGACCATTGGGATTAGGGTGTGGTCCCAATGAAGAATCAAATTTTTGCATAAAAATATATAGGAAGAATAAAGAGGGAAAATCTTCACCGGAACGGAAAAGTTTTATTTAGTCAATTTGACATGTAAGCATCTGCAAGTAGTGAAAAATTGAATTCATTCAAATAATGTTGAACTGGAAAAGGACGGGGGGGGAATGAGGGGTCACAATGGCAGATCAAATAATATGTTAGAGAAATCTTTAAAAATCTTGTTTTTAAGTATGACAGAATTATAATTGTATGTTTCATTGAAATGGTGACATTCTCGAGTAATAGAAAATTCCAACCCCCCTCCCCCTCCTCCAACAAGTGAACTTTTCAATGCTGAGCTGACTTGTGTATTTTCACATGTGCTCAGGTGATCGAAGTCACCCATGGGCCTCGTGTTAGGAAAAGAAATAGATACAGTTCAGATGTGCATAAGAATTCCTACTGAAAAGATTACAGAACTGAAAGGTTTATTAGAAACACTTCTTGACAGAAAAAGGGTTAGGGTTCGCAGTTTAGAATCCTTAGTTGGGAAACTTTAGGCATCTCAAATCCAGAGCATGAGATCCGCATTCTTGACGAACGAAAACAATAAATGACAAAGTGGCTAAGTTTTTTTTTTCATAATTTCAATGGCATAGCTTATTTTCCACAAAAGGAATAGACAAACTATAGAGTTCTTCATTATAAACTGATAGTGCAGGGTCAAGTCAAATGGGTTGTGGTTCTTTTTTGGGGGGAAATGGATGTATTACCAATGGCCGGGTCGTTGGAAAAATCAGTAGATAATGAGAGACATTACTTTTTTAAGAATCGGTGCCAATAGTTCTGACACTGTTGGTTTAGGGTGAATTAGATTATATCACTGACAAAATTGATTCATTTTACATTAATCTTATTGTAAATTATACGGAGGAAAGTCCCAGAGCGGTATTAATGTGCTTTCTTGTGTAAAGAGAGATAATATTAGAAGAATCCAATACAAACATACCCTGTGCGATTCACATACCATCATTTAAATGAAGCAATATACCCCAGGCGTGTTACACATTTCAAGATTAATAATAATAAAAAAATTATTGTGGTAAAAATCACGGGGAATTTTTGTAATGAGAAAATGAAATACATGCATTTATATTTGTTAAAGTAAGTGCCTTTCAAATGCATAAAATGCTAAAAGAAGCATATCATCCAAAATGATAACCATTAACCAACTAACAAATGATATACCTGCAATATTTTAAAATATTATATTTTCATTGAATAGTAAATAGGTATTGTAAATGTAATTCAAGATGAGGTGTTTTGAAATTGTTTTTTTTTATAATTTGAATGTTTCCGATCAGGCAATGATTTAATTATCAATTTTCCGTGAAATTTACGATCAATGCTATAATACTTAACAGCAATGACAGATAAGAGGTACAACTAGTTACTGGAAAGGTTAAATATTAATATTTTTATCATAGTTTTCTTTGTTTAAAAATATGTCATTTAAAATTTCATGTACTGAGAATTGACAGATTCTATTTTCCAGGAGTTAAATCTTAAATACGATTAAATAGCATAAAATTAAAAACGTTTACAGACTGATTTTATGTCTTTTTAACTTAAGGTATTCAATCCCTAATAGCAACAAATTCAATGATATTAAGTACATAACAGATATGCAGATGATGAATACTTTTTTTTATTTAGGCATTATTCACATTTATTACTATTAGCTTGTAAGATTAGGATGTGTCCTTTTTTATGACCTTAAATTTTATTAAGAGTTATCTACCTCCATTTTTTTAATTAATAAAAAAATCAATTTTAAAAATCTTATCCGGTAAAAAATTTATCAATTCAATAATCATTCTATTTTCAATATTCCAATGCATCTTTCCGCCAACAGTATTAAATTTTATTGATCTTCCTATTATTTATTTTTTTATTGAAAAAATACAATTTTTCCTACAGACTACAATGTAATCTGAGTTAATTAGCTACTGCTTAATTAATGACAATTTGGAAAGTTTCTCGCGAACAATCCTTTTCTACTATAAAATGCTTTAATTTAATGTCAGAGTATTATGTATCTGAAGGACATTTAAGGGTAGAAAATTTGGTCGCATTAAGGATGGAAATCCTTAAAAAATTTTCAATGTAAAGAACTACAGTATATGATGGTTTATATGATTTGAACCACATTTTAAGAACATGGATAAATTTACCTAAGGTTCCCGTGGCAGGTCCTGCAAGAAAGAGTTGATATTTATCTGTTTCATCGGAGACAGAGAATCCATCGTACATTTCATACAGAGTTGTCCCATTCCCAAGAGTAATGGACACATAAAGGGAAGCGGTCTCTTCTTTTGTAAATTGATGGATTATGTCATTTCCTGTATCAATATTTTAGAATATAAATATACCGTAATAAAACATCAAATCATTTTTCTAATCTGTAGACATTGATGCTAAATTTGGACACATTAAGACTACACCACTAAATGATTCCCTTTTTCTTATTATTTAAGATATTAATTAAACACGCTCAAAAAATATCGTAAAACACGTTTTACATACTCTACAGATCAGAGTTTTGATAACTTTCCTTTTTTATTTCCACAACAAAGAAATTTTGCCAAACTCTGAATTGGATGATAGTCCTTTTCCTTTTTTAATGTAATTTACACTTACCAACCCAGACATCCTGTTCCGGTGAACCAAATCCTTTTTTATATTCCGTCCAGTTCCTGTCAAAGTCCAGGGATCCAGTAATTCGTTTTTGGATTGCCTTTAAAGTTAACACGTATAGTATTGTTTTAAACGGTTGTGTGAGCAATATGTTATGATATAAACAAAAAATATTCATATTTCTTCATCTTATATTCTGTTGAACAACAAAAACATTAAGTGTGAATATGAATTCTACAATATGTCTTTATATTAAAATTAACAACCTACCGTCCATCCCCCGCCCATTGTCGTCATGTCACAGAAAACAGTGACAGGCCTTGTACTGGTTCCATAGGGATAGATTTCATACACCCCTGTATTAAAGTATCCATCTGTCTGTATATCCTTACAGTCTCTGAGTATATCTAAAGCAGAAAAAAAAACTTACAATCTACAGAAATAGTTTATATACAATCCAAAGAAATAACTAATAAGAATAATACTGATATCATACTATGTACAGTATATGCAATGTACAGTAATAACCAATAAAAATAATAATGGAATCAGACTATGTATATACAAGATACAGAAATAACTAACAGAAATAATACTTGTATCATTCTTTGTATATACAAGAAGATACATCATATGATATAAAATAAATACATCATATTTCTAATTACTGTTATCTGTTAATTAAAGCTAAGTTAGTTAACTATCAGAATTAAGTCAGATGATACATAATACCTGAAAGAAGAAGTAAGTTTATCTGTTAATTAAAGCTAAGATGAGAACTGCAATGTGGATTTTGTGAAGCATATTCTTATTACCAAAATTGAAGTTATTAGAAATAATAAGACAAAACTATTACTTAGAATTAATTAATACTATTGAGCGATGAAAATTCATAATATTTATCTGATTTATGGAAAATGTAATAAAGAAAAATGACATATAAACATACAGTCAGGTGTGTAGTATCTCCAGCCACCCTCATTAAACATTCCCGACTTGAAAATCTTCTTGTGGGTACGACATTTCTTCATCTGGGGATTAAACCCATAGAAACTACACTCTGTTTGACAGCGCGCTGCACACTCTCTAACTGATGTAGATTTGTGTTCTCCTACAAGTTCGTCATCTGATTTATAATCATCCATTTCAGGTTTTGCAATATATTTCCTCAACCTTATGGTAGACTGACACACCGCAAAAAAGCCAAAAACTAAAACAATTGCACAAAGAGCGCCCATATCGTAATTTGTACTCAAGGCTACTGGCTGCGTTGTTGGGTACCTGTAGAAATTTGTAATGTAGCATACAAAACGCGAAATAAAAATATCAAAATATACATCAATTACTGAAAATGATTGGCTAATGGTTACGTATTCAGTATGTTTCATTTATTAAAATATTGATTTGTTGAATCTGTTGGAAATTACCATAAATGTTAATTTTGCTATTCCAAATATTAAAATGCTTGGGAATGTTAAGACTACAACCAAATATTTCACTTGCCTATGAAATATGACATCAATAGTAAGCTATTAGATGTGAACTAAAGATTTAAATATTTCTTAAAATTTATATTTAAAGATTGATTAAAGGCCGTAGATATGAATCAAAACATGTGAGAGATTAATATAGACAGAATCTTTTCTTTTTGGGGAGGTATAAATAACTATATATTTGTCACAGATTTAAATACCAAACCCATGACCTCATAACTGTTGATCTGTGTTTAGCAGATTGAAAGAAATCGGAGTTTAAAAGCATATATTTACATTCAGTGTAATTTTCCTTATGAAATCCATTAGAAATCCACGACGTTCAAATTTCTATAACACACGCGAAACCTTGTCACCGCGCGTTAGAATACACAGTAGGAACTATATGCATTTTCAATACTCTAAGAACACTAAAATGTAAAATGTTTTATTTCAATTTAATGAAAAACTTTTACCCTGAAAAATTTAGGTAAAAATTAACGTAAAGTGCGTTAAGAATTAATTTGTCACTTTTTTCCTCGCAATGTTTGTTTGAGTCATTTAACTTTGCAACGTCATCTAACGTCATTTGACGTCACAAACAGCTCTTACATCTATTAACCACGGCAGTTATGAAGGGCGCTAAATTCACATTTGAGATTAACGAAATAAGCAATAATGAAGATCTGAAGGAAAATTAGGGAATGTAAATATAAGCATTGAATTCATATTTTGGGATGTCTTCGGTCCTATAACACACCTGGCCGTGCCGACCAGTTATCATACCAATTACGGTATTCAATTTGTCGGCACGGCCAGGTGTGTTATAGGACCGAAGACATCCCAAAATATGAATTCAATGCTTAATTAAAGTCACAGAAAACATTCCACAGATATCTGTTTTGTTAATCTTAATAATATGTGAAAAATACATACATTGTGTTTTCAAAACTTGTTTCAAATTGTCTTTAAAATTTGCAATGCTAAAATTTCTGATTTTGTCAAATTAATTTTTTTTTCAACAGGAGTATATATGCAACACCTACCTTTGCAATATTGCACAAACACCTGGTACGGTATCTCCATTTTTGTGAGTTAACTCGTAAAAGTAGCAGTACCTCAATGACATAACCTTTGAAAATATATATATTATTTATCTTCTGATCTTAACTTGAATATCAAGTGTGATTCTTGAGGAAGAAGGATATGGAGATAACGAACAGTATTCAATATCAAAGTCCATAAAACAATACAAAATAGTAGCAGAGAAAATACGGACATCCAAAAAATCAGAGGAGGGATCAGGTGCCATGGAGGAGTGAGCATCCGCTGCCGACTGGTAGCGCCCGCCGTGTGCTCCTTGTCATTTGCTTTAATTCATAAACCTATGAGCTTGAACACTGTTCATTATCTCCATTTACAAGTTTTCAATTTGATATTTCATAGGCGCAGGTTCTTGCTTTGAAACACGCTTAACAATATGTACAATGATGTGCGTCATTTGCTACAGATAATGTGCTTAAATTACCATTTGATTTCTTTACAGCCAAATAAGTCTTGATCAGACCGCTTCGATTTTGTTGATAAAGACATGCGTCTGAATGATGAAGACAATAGTGGAGAAGATCTACGAAAAGTTTTTAGTCGGATGAAAACATATATGTTTATAGAATTGTGCATAAAATATGGATTAAAATCAGACATATAGACAACCTATCAGAGAAAAATATTATACCTATAATGAACATAAAACACATATTGTGCAACACACGTTTTTATGCGATTAGTAAAATTCAATGTTCTAATAAAGGGATATATTTTTTCGATAAAAAATGTTAAGCAACTTTATATATTAAGGACATCCGATCCTCAGCCAGGAAGGATAACTCCAAAAATTAAGATTTAATTTGAAATACATCAAAAGGAAGCTAGAAAATTAATTTTTTTCATGCAATAATTTTCATTTTATTCATCTTTATAAGATTCAAGGTGGAAATCTTAGAAAAGGTCTTATAAAAGTTGACATTTGTACATTTGTACCCTATAAAAGGAAAAAAATATACAGTTTCAGAGAAACAAGATTTTCCTGAATCCAGCCTTAAATACCAAATCTTTTTAGCATGATATGAAATAAGAAGTGATTTTTTGGTGTCTTGCAATGATAGCAAAAGCCTTTTACACTATGTATTATAGAATAAATGACGGAAATAGAAGACAAGAAATACCAAATAAGTATTAAAATCATTACAATTTCTCTGAGTGCCTTGATACATATCGTTTTCTAATCTAAGTAATGTTTGTTGATCATTTTGAAATTAGAGAATGCATTGCTGATATTTCAATTTGCTTTTTCTGCAAAAATATTGGAGATTTGACAATTTTCCCTATATAATATGATTATAATCTTTAAGTTTTAACTTTACAGAAATACTGTGGGTGAATTTACATAACCGTGTGGATTCAGAGATAATTTTATGATTATTTTTGATTACTTAACTGCTACTTTTATAAACCTGAGGATCGGACTACATTAAATATGAAAACATACATCTTTTTAAAAATGCACTTTGTGTCGTTTTTATCGTGGATATCGTCAGTTATAAAGGGAACATCATTCTTCTGTATTATCTTTTTGATGAAAAGTTAACCTTAATTTCTGAATAACCTTTCCCACCTCCATACCTATCTATTAAATTTAAAGTAATATGTGTAGAGCCACACAGTCTTCCATGCTGCAATAAATATCGGTTTTATATATATTGAAAAAATGATCGTAATGCTTATTTTTAAAAAAAGCATGTCTCTATTCAAATTCTAAGTCTTTCAGCGTGTTCCTAATATTGCAGTGGATGCATTACAACGTTACAATGTTACGCAATGTCGTTTTGTGCATGTAACAAATAATGATGTTCCTCGCAATACGTTCAGTCAAAACAATACCAAACTTTCAAATCCCACCTTCAAAAAGTATAATATATACAAGTATCCAAAAAGAAAAAAAACAATAAAAAGCTTAACGACCAAACTACCTACAGGGTAAAACTCAATAAAGTTTAAGTAAAGGCAAATATCGACGACTCTTGGCTGCAAATCTTATTCCATTCGATAATATTGTCTTACGAAGTAACCGATACGCTTTACACA